TTTCTCCTTCCTTCCTTCCTTCCTTCCTTCCTTCCTTCCTTCCTTCCTTCCTTCCTTCCTTCCTTCTTTCCTTCCTTCTTTCTTTTTGAGTCTCACTCTGTTGCCCAGGCTGGAATGCAGTGCCACAATTTCTGCTCCCTGCAACCTCTGCCTCCCAGGCTCAAGCTATTCTCCTGCTTCAGCCTCCTGAGTAGCTGGGATTACAGGAACACACCACCATGTGCAGCTATTTTTTTTTTTTTTTTCGTGTTTTAGTAGAAATGGGTTTCACCATGTTGGCCAGGCTGGTCTTGAACTCACAACCTCAAATGATCCACCTGCCTCAGCCTCCCAAAGTGCTGGGATTACAGGCATGAGCCACCAGGCCTGGCTGAGGTTCTAGTCTTTTGATTGGGTGGTAGAGGGGCAGTCACCCAGCTGTGTGGGCGTGAGGAGAGGAGCTAGGAGTCTTTTTCTTCCTATGAAGATTTTCACTCATTCCTGCTTTCATCTCCTTCTAGCAACTTCACCTTCCCGCAACCTCACCTTCCCAAGTACTTGGTACCTTCAACTCCTGAGGTTCTTTGGTATGAATTAGACCACTTCTTTTTTTTTTGTTTTGTTTTTTTGAGATGGAGTCTCGCTTTGTCGCCCAGGCTGGAGTGCAGTAGTGCAATCTTGGCTCACTGCAAGATCTGCCTCCTAGGTTCACGCCATTCTCCTGTCTCAGCCTCCCGAGTAGCTGGGACTACAGGTGCCCGCCACCACGCTTAAACCCGGCTAATTTTTTGTATTTTCTAGTAGAGACGGAGTTTCACCGTGTTAGCCAGGATGGTCTCGATCTCCTGAACTCGTGATCCGCCCACCTCGGCCTCCTAAAGTGCTGGGATTACAGGCGTGAGCCACCGCGCCTGGCTGAATTAGACCACTTCTTGCTCATCTAGACTACAGATCCTCAACTTTAAATTTTTGCAGTCTTTTGAGTCACTTAAAACTCATCCATCTATTTTCTTTTCTTTTCTCTTTTCTCTTATTTTCTTTTCTTTTCTTAGATGGAGTTTCTTAGATGGAGTCTATTGCACTGACTGGAGTGCAGTGGCACAATCTTGGCTCACTGCAACCTCTGCCTCCCGGGTTCAAGTGAGTCTCCTGCCTTAGCCTCCTGAGTAGCTGGGACTACAGGCACACGCCACCACACCCAGCTAATTTTTTGTATGTTTAGTAGAGACAGGGTTTCACTATGTTGGCCAGGCTGGTCTTGAACTCCTGACCTCAGGCGATCCACCCGCCTCAGTCTTCCAAAGTGCTGGGATTGCAGGCGTGAGCCACTGTGCCCGGCCTCATCCATCTACTTTCTAGATTCCAAAATTGTACTGACATCTCTTGTATTCTCCTATCACTGCTCTTGTTTTCTCTGTTCCATAGGTTTATGCATTTTAAACACTGTTGTCATTTTAGTGAGAATTCAAGAGGAAACAGAAATAAATGCAGCTGGAGAAGCATCCCACCATCCTGACCACAGCTGATCTTCCCTGGACACCATGAACCACGCTGTCCAGACCATCTTCACTCCCACCAACACCAGCCACCCCTCAACTGCGAAATGCTCAAGGAGGAGCACGAGGTAGCTGTGCTGAGGGTGCCCCACAACCCTGCTCCCCTGACATCCACTGTGATCCACATCCACAGTGAGACCGCTGTGCCCGACCACGTCATCTGGTCCCTGTTCAACACCCTCTTCATGAACTGGTGCTACCTGGGCTTCATAGCATTCACCTACTCCATGAAGTCTAGGGACAGGAAGATGGTTGGCGACCTGAGCGGGGCCCAGGCCTACGCCTCCACTGCCAAGTGCCTGAACGTTTGCATCCTCATCCTGGACATCCATGTGAACACAGCACTCATCATCCTTTTCACCAGTAGCTCTATGATAATATTCCAAGCAATTTCTCAAACGGTAAAGAATCTCCAAGGCCAGCAGTAGCGCCCAGTTACTTGCCGTCCACTGCAGGCCCTACACCCTGGGCCTGAGTTCTGTATCAGCCCTTTATTCTCACATACTTTTCTACAATGGCATTCAATAAAGTGCACGTGTTCCTGGAAAAAAGAAAGAAAGAAAGAAATGCAGCTGTTCAGTCCTCCACATTCAGCACAGAGGTCTTTATTCTCTCAACCCCCTTCAACCAGACTTTTATCCCTGCCACTTTGCTGAAACTGTTCTTATCAAGGTCAAAACTTTGCCTAATCCACTGGACAATTCTCAAGCCTTATCTTACTTAAATTCTCAGTAGGATTTGATATGATTAATCCCTTCTCCTTGAAGCCCTCTCTGTCTTTCTTGCCATCTCTCGGCGTCCTTTTCTGGTATCTCCTTCTCACCTTTAACTGTTGTGTGCCCTCGGGCTCAGTCCTTTTTTCTTCTCTACTTACATTCTCTTGGGTGGCATGCGGTCATGTGGGTTTAAATACCATCTATTTGCCAATATCTATTGGCTCTCCATATCCGTGGGTTCTGTGTCCATGGAGTCAACCAACTGTGGATCAGAAATATTCAGAAAAAAAATGTTTGTACTGAACATGTACAGAATTTTCTTGTCATCATAGCAAGAATGACAATTAAACAATATAAAGTATAACAACTATTTATATAGCATTTGCATTGTATTAGGTATGATATCAGTAATTTAGCTATGATTTAAAGTACATAAGCCAGATGCAGTGGCTCACGCCTGTAATCCCAGCACTCTGGGAGGCTGAGGCAGGTGGATCACTTGAGGTCAGGAGTTCAAGACCAGCCTGGCCAACATGGCAAAACTCTGTCTCTACTAAAAATACAAAAGTTAGCCGGGTGTGATGACATACACCTGTAGTCGCAGCTACTCGGGAGGCTGAGGCAGGAGAATAGCTTGAACCTGGGAGGTGGAGGTTGCAGTGAGCTGAGATTGCACCACTACACTCCAGCCTGGGTGACAGAGTGAGACTTTTTCTCAAAAAAAAAAAAAAAAAAAGAAAAGAAAGAAAGAAAAAGAAATACACAGGAGAATATGCATTGGTTATATGCAAATACTACACCACCTTTTTTTTTGTTTGTTTGTTTTTGAGACTGTCACCCAGGGTGGAGTACAGTGGTGCAATCATGGCTCACTGCAGCTTTGACCTTTCTGGCTCAAGCAATCCTCTTGTCTCAGCCTCCTGAGTAGCTGGAACTACAGGCGTGAGCCTCCACACTGGGCTAATTTTTGTATTTTTCATAGAGATGGAGTTCTGCCATATTGCCCAGTCTGGTCTCCAACTCCTGGGCTCAAGTGATCCTCCCACCTTGGCTTCCCAAAATGCTGGGATTACCAGGTGGGATGAGCCACTGCACCTGGCCTACTACACCATTTTGTATCAGGAACTTGAGCATCTGTGGATTTTGGTATCCCCAGGAGGTCCTGGAACCAATCCTCCTGCATACCACAGTCGACTGTATATATCTTCAGCTCCAACCTCTGCAACACACTGGAGCTTCATACTTGCGTATGTTTACCCATCTATCTGAGACTTCCCATTGGAAGTCCAATAAGTGTCTCAAATTGGACCTCTTCAAAATAGAACTTGCTTTTATCCTTCAAATCGCCTACCTCAGTCTTCTCCATTTCAGTATATACTACTAAGATTCACCTAGATTTTGCTTGGGTTGAACACCCAGGGGTCATCCTTGGTTAGGCTATTCCCCTGACACCTACATTAATCCAACTTCATGATCCAATTTCAACTCCAAAATATATCTTGGTTGGTGGGGCACAATGACTCATGTCCATAATCCCAGCACTTTGGGGTATTGAGGTGGGCAGATCATTTGAGCCCAGGAGTTCAAGATCAGCCTGGGCAACATAGTGAGACCCTAAAAGTACTAAAACCAAGAACAAAAACAAACAAACAAACAAAAAACACCAAAAAAAAAAAAAAACAACCCACAAAAAGAAATCCAAAACAGATCTTGGTCAAACGACTTCTCACCATGTCCTCTGCTGCTCCCCTAGTCCAAGTCAGCTCTCTCTTACCTGGACACCTGTCATGGCTGCCAGGCTTATGGTTTTTCTGCTATCATTCTTGCTCCTTTCCCACACTGCAGTCTATTTTCTGCGTAGCAGTGAGAGTGCTAGTTATTTATTTAGTTATTTAGTTATTTTAGAGACAGGGTCCCGCTCTGTTGCCCAGGCTGGAGTTCAGTGGTGTAATCAAAGCTCACTGCAGCCTCAAATTCCTGGGCTCAATCCTCCTGCCTCCCGAGTAGCTGGGACCACAGGCATAAGCCATCGTGCCTAGCTGAGAGTGCTGTTTGCAAAGAGCAAGTCAGCCAGGTCACCCCTACTCATAGCCATCCAATGGCATCCATCACACTCTGGATGAAACCACCTGCTTACCAAGGCCTACAACGCTTAACAAAGACAGGCCGCCACCTCCCTCTCAACCTCACTTTCACACTGTTCTGGTCACACCAGCCTTCGTGCTTTTCCTTCACATGCCCAGCTCAGCCCTGCCTCAGATCTTTATGTTTCTTCTTTTGCCTGATGCTTTTCTTGAAGATCTTTATGTCATTCACATATCTGCTTAAATGCCATCTCCTCAAAGAAGTCTTCTCTGGCTATCCTATCTAAAAGAAGCCCCCTTCCTCATCAGTCTCCATCTCCTTAGATAGCTGCCTGCTTCTGGCCGGGCGCAGTGGCTCACGCCTGTAATCCCAGCACTTTGGGAGGCTGAGGCAGATGGATCACTTGAGGTCAGGAGTTTGAGACCAGCCTGGCCAACATGGTGAAACCCCGTCTCTACTAGAAATACAAAAATTAGCCAAGTATGGTGGCGGGTGCCTGTAATGCCAGCTACTAGGGAGGCTGAGGCAGCAGAATCACTTGAACCCAGGAGACTCTGTCTCAAAAAAAAAAAAAAAAAAAAAAGAAAAGAAAAAGAAAAAAGAAAATAAAGAAACAAGCAAGATAGCTCCCTGCTTCCTTGAGGTCCTCATTCCCCTGGAGACAGCTCCTCCAAGTAATGACCACTGTGGCCATTGCCAGGGAGAGGGTGTCATCATGACACCTGTGCTGAATATCCCACCAGACAGGATGAGTGCCTAGAAAATCAATGTGGCATTTTTTTCATCCTGAGTCTACAAAGCAAAACTCACACCTGCTAAGAGAGCTCTGTGATCAGAGTACATGTCCTCCCTGTATTTTGTTTTATTTTTACCATTGTCTGATGTGAATTGGCCAGAGCAGGTAAGACAGAGGAAGAGTGACCTGCCTGTATTGTAGATTTAGGGAGTGCAGAGGGACATTCTGTCAGGAAAATGTGTGTAGACTGGGAAGGACATGCCAATCAGGAAAGATCCCATAAAACTAACTTTTAAAAACATTTGTATAAGACCAGACCTTAATGACTTCATCTTCTGGCTCTGCTAATTCCCTTCTTGGCTTCACACTGAGATTCAGATTAAGCAGCGGTTGACTCGAGCCAACTGCAGTCAGCACTGGGGGACTTGGACATTGGTTGAGTTCGGAAAGACACCAACTGCGGGAAGGAGGAATTTTTGCCACACTCCTATTTCGGGGGTGTACTTTGTGCTTGAGGAGCAGCCAGGATTTCTTTGGGATCTTTCCTTGAGAAAGGGCTGCAAGAACCCAGATCCCTAGCCATGACCTGGCCAATGAAGGCTGTCGGGAACGGGAGGATTCAGTCTATCAGCAAGCAGCCTCTCAGCCAAGATGGAGAGTAAAGGTATTGAGTGCAGACCGAGTGTCCTGCAGGTGCTACGTAATGTGCTCTACCTGTGTGATCACAGAAATCCTGGCACTGGTCCTAGGAGGGTCTATTTTGCTACATCACCCCAGTCATTTACTCATTCATGTAACAAACATTTACTATGTACATATATGTTCCAAGCATTCTTTTTCACTCCTGAAATTGTGGTTACAAGGGAGCAAAAGGCCAAGTCATTGCTCTTATAGGGCTTATAGCCAGGTGGCGGGGATGCCAAGTAGACAAACAAATACACGAGACAAGGTGATAAAAGCAGAATCATGGCCGGGCGTGGTGGCTCACTCCTGTAATCCCAGCACTTTAGGAAGCCGAGGGGGGCGGAGCCCATGAGGTCAGCAGTTCAAGATCAGCCTGACCAACATGGAGAAACCCCATCTCTACTAAAAATACAAAAAATTAGCAGGGCGTGGTGGCGCATGCCTGCAATCCCAACTACTCCGGAGGCTGAGACAGGAGAATTGCTTGAATCCAGGAGGCGGAGGTTGTGGTGAGCTGAGATCGTGCCATTGCACTCCAGCCTGGGTGATAAGAGAAAAACTCCATCTCTAAAGAAAAAGGGCAGAATCATGAGACAGTTCAGGGATTGTCCAAGTATGGTCCACAGACCTCTGCGAGTTCCTAAGACCTTTTCAGGAGGTCCAGGAGGTTGAAACAACTGTATTTGCACAAAAATATTGATATGTTATTTGCCTTTGTCACTCTTGTGGCATAGCAGTTCTCAAATTGGCTCTCTGGGCAGGGGTCATGAATGTCACTCTAGGGAGGCACAGCCCCAGGCCTGAGAAGGATCCCAGGGACTTAGTGAATCTGTCCCTGGGGCATGTGTCCTTGTAAAGGGGGCTATGAGCTGATGCCCAGGCTCTAAGGAGACAGTGTTGGCTGGTGTCACCTAACAGGAGGTTTCTTCCTACTCTTTGAATCCCAGGAAGACTCTCCTGGGGTTTCGCCTGTTACTCCCACTCTTACAATCATAGAACTCACATGAGGAGCTTGGGAAGTGAGAGCTGGGGCCACGTGTGACAGCAGCTATGAGAGGCGGAGAACTCTCAGGCCCCAGTCTGCAGCCCCTGTCCTCTCATGCCAGTGTTCAGGGCACTGAATTGTCCTGACTTGGTTTCTCCTGGCAGAATCGCGGGAGGCACAAGGCTGGAAGCTGGATCACTCCCCAAATGAGTTGTTGAGGCTCTGCGTGACATGATGACGTTTGCTGGGCCACTCAGCAGATTGCTCCCCCAGTAGACCTGCCTCACCGCTTGACAGTCTGTCAGTTGCGTTTATTGGGAACCTGCTAGCAATGTGAATTGGTAGGCA